AGAAATTTTTGAAATGGTGTATCTTTGGCTATGTATATTTTCACCAAAAAAAGAAAAAAAAAGGTCAAGAAGGGAGAGGGTTGACATGTTGTGGGGTTGTTAACCAATGTCACAAAACAATATGTGGACTACTGTTTCATGAGAAGCTATTTGTTCTGTAAGCCTTCACCTGAAGTACAATTAAAAAAAAAAAAAGCAAAATTCAGGTTTGGTCTTAGTCTACAGATATGAGGTGAAAATGAAATTTATTTTCGCATCTTATTTGTATTAGGTTTGCAAACACATTTTATTTCTGATAGTTCAAAAAGTACAGTAGATGCAAATAGAAGGCTGTACTACTTGTTCCGGACACAAGAGCCTTTTCATTACAAGGTTAAAACAGATACCTGCATCTTTAAAAATACTGGAAAGTTTTTTTAAAAGCTCTTATTTTAGAGGTTTTTTTTTTTAATCTCTCTGACAGCACATATAAAAAAAAATCTTTTTTAAAGTTTTTCAATGCTAGAATTATATTCTTTATAATCCTATTTTATAATCTCAGATTGATCCTCATAATAGTTATAGTTCATGAAACAGGACACATTGTCTGTGCACTGACTATTTTCTTTCATTTTTACTCCAACAGGAAACTAAAACCCAGTGTGTACGAATTGCTACAAAAGGTAAGATGTTTGGTGCTTCTTTTTTTTTTTAACTCCATTTCCCCACTTCTAAGATGAAAAAGCTTTGTTCCCTGCTTCAGGGCTAATTAGACGTGGCATTTCTATTAAAGAGTATTTGTAGTAAGGCCCAGTTAAACTGCCAGCCAAGTCCTCAGCCTCACTTGGGTGTCTTTAGCATGTAATGGGGTGCCATTTTCCATCCCCTAGTACTTCACTGGAGGAATCTTGTTATGAGAATAGGAAGGATTTAGGAAGCCTTAAAAGAGCTTACTTCTGCCATTTAGAGTCTGAAAGGTCTGGTGCTGCTGATCAGCCACTGTATTAGGAAAAGCTCAGCAATATCAGCTCAGAATAGTAAGTTGCTTATGTAATAACCCTCTGTTACTCTCTGTGGTAGACAATTAAACATACAAAGAACCAAGCTAGCTCATGCGTATGTAAAAATATAGGCATAGAAGTTGGTCCGCATCTTCATCAGTAGGGCAGTTTGGTTATGGACGGTTTGCTTTTTTTTTTTTCCATTAATTCAACTGATGAGAAGAAGTTATATCTGTGCTGGCTAATGACCAGGGCAATCCTTAATGACTCTGCATATTCTGGTTTAGTTGCCTAGATTCTTTGAGAAGAAAAAATGTTTTCATCTTTGAAAGAGTACTAGTGCTCAGAGTGGGGGAACGGTCTCTTGTATCTGCTATGCTTATAATCCTTCATTTAAGAGACATTTTATTGTGCCAATAAGAGAGAGAGAGAGAAAGCTACTTGGTGTATTCTAGCAAGAGAAGCAAGTAAAAGCTTCCTGCATGCTGACGTGGCTCTCCTGAGAGAGTTGATTCTCTGGTGATTTGCTGCCAGAATTAGCATTAGACCCACATTCATGAGCAGTAGTCAGTTTGTTGGGATTAAAAATGAATGGCCATATTCTGTTTGTGCTGGCATCTTTCTTTCCATCATTATTCTCCATCTAATCATCAATCTGCTCAATTAAGCATATGTGTTTAACTCTTGATTTGTAAAGGCAATAAAGAAAGATTGTTTTCCTTTGATTCATGAGAATTAATAAAGAGGCTTCACAGGGAAGAAAATACACTTTTCAGTTCAAATATGAAGATGCGTCACGATAGTTAAAAGAAGAAAGCAAACTAAGGTGACTTAAAGAAGGGAAAGAGAAAACATATGGAAATGCATATAACGTATAAGCATTTATTTTATTTTAAAAATTTAGCTCATAGACCAGGAGTTAAGAATTGAAATTTTTCGAAGATAATGACAGAAGACACTTAGGTGTATATCAGCTATGCTTTTACAGATTTAAAATGGACTCAGAAATGTAAAAGGGTCTCACGTTAGCCTCCCCGAGATTCTTTAGATATTGTCATGCTGTATTGATAGCTGTAAATAAAGTTCTAACTCAATGATTTAATTGCTTGCTTTACCACGAGTAGTTTCAGTGCCGTTTTGTCCCTCTCTCAATACAAATAAAAGTACAATGATAAATACAATATCTGTTTAGACTACAGGAAGATTGAGATCATGGAAATCTATCTTACCATGTAACATAGAATGTTTGCCAGAATCTCAGAGGTGGGAAGAGTCTATCTGTGCTGTACTTCTGCCTCTCGGATTGGCAATATGGTGTCGTGAGTAAGAGCAAGAGCTCTGGCCCCAGAATTTCTGGATTCAAATCCTGACTAGTTCTTTGGCATTTTACAAATTATTTAATCCCTCATCGCAAAAATAAGAAAAATAGTGTTCCTACCCTTTACTATTATTGTGAAGATTAAAAAAAACTTATATACCTAAATTGCCTGAATAGTGCTTATCATTTTGTAAGTACTACAGAAGGGTTATCTACTATTTTTATCATTACAATTATTATAATTATTTTGCATCTTACTTCAGAAGGGCATAATTTGGGTTATGCACTTATGAAAGAAATATATATACAAAAAAAAAAAACAAACTTTTATGATGTATATGGTTTGGCAAAAACAAAAGGGGCATTTTTTTTTTTTTGTTTAATGTTGCTGTCCAGATCTAAAGTAATTCTTCCTCTGAACAATTAGCATTTTTCCACATAGGCAAAACCACACTTATTAAGGTAACATCAGCTCATTGCCTGACACCATTTTAAACTAACACCATGTAAGCGTGGTGAGCTTTGGCATGAAATTTCTCAGTATGAACGTAAGTGTTCTGGTAGGGCATTTTCAAACATCTTGGATGTATTTTCAGAAATGTCCCTTTTTATGGCAGATGCGTTCTGAAGACATACTTAATAATCCAAATGACATGGCCATTTTGACTGTGACAGGGCATGAGGACACCTTCAAGGGGAAGGATACAGGACATAGTAGCCATAAGGCTCCCTCTTCCCTGAGCCTTCTGTAGTTAGGGAATATGGGATTACTTAGGGATTTAAAATACTTCTGAAATAATTTGTTAAAAACACTTGAGAACTTTCTAAGAATTAATACCTTATTTAGCATTACTTGCCTGACTATACTTTGATTCATTATATTTATTAGTCCCCATGGAATTATGAAGCAAATTATGTTTATCCATTACCTGTTTATATTTTCACCATCTTTCTACATCCAATATATGTGTGATTCAGGCTTGCACAAACCTGAATGTTCGCTGTAGAATACGCAAGATTAGATGTTTGAGGGCATATGTTAGGTATGGGAATGAAAGGAAGATAAAGGTTGAAGAATGAAAATAAATGATAATATATACCTCGAGAATTGTGGTGGTAAATAGAAAGAGCACTGAACAGAAGATTAAGGAACTATAGAAAGAGTAAACCTTGGGGACATTCTACCTATCCATAAAAACCTGACCTTAGTCCCATCTCATTGAATAATACTCCTTGCCCGTATTAGCAATGTGCAGAATCAAAGCGGGAAAACAATAGAAAGTAGGGGAAAGAGGAAGGGTAAAAGAAAGGATAAGCCTAATAGAAGCATCTGTAGGTCATTCCAAAAATTATATTATGCTTAGAAAAAAACTGCAATAAAATGGGCACCTTATCTAAGAAAAGAAAAAGACATACCCACCCACCTTGCTACCTTACCTCAAGATTTATTATAGGATAAAGGCATATCTTCTGAGTACTAGCCAGTAAAGGAGCCAGGAGTTTAGAAATACAATAAACAGTGAGGAAAATGTTTATGCAACGATTATGTCAAGTGCAAAGAATCTTGAGAAAATAAGGAAGAGATGGAAACAAATAAAAGTACAAGAACACACTGGTAAAGGATTTTGTAACCCTAAATACATGAATGGTTAGAACCTGATAGAAAAAAATATATATCCAACTCCCTACCCATTACTTAAGGAGCCCTGGTAGCACAGTGGTAAAGTGCTTGACGGCTAACCAAAAGGTCGGTGGTTCAAACCCACCAGCGGCTCCGTGGGAGAAAGATGTGGCACTCTGCTTCCATAAAGAAACCCTGTGGGGCAGTTCTACTCTGTCCTATAGGGTCGCTATGAGTTGGAATCAGCTCGACAGCACCTACCAACAACAACAACCTATTACTTAAGATTCAAGCCAAATATAAATTATAAAAATGAAGCTAAATGTTATAGGAACACTATCTTTGTATGTGTTAGTTGTAGATTGTTTTTAGATTAAAATATCCCATTTTATTTTTTGTCACTGTCTTAGGATATTTTTTTTTCCTCATCCTTTGATGAGTCTTTATGAGTGGTTTGGAGGTGGAGTCTATTGGCTTTTGACAAAAAAAAAAAAAAAAAACTATGTAACTTTTCTATTCACTGAGGATGCTGTTCAATTTAGATGTTTTAATGGAATAGTTTCTTAAAACTGAAAGTGCCATAATACATAGAATAAAGTACATGTGGTAGGATTTTATTAATTTTTATTTTAAACTTATTTATCTCATTACACATTAAAATCAAGTAATTCAAGGATTTAGTTTGGATAGAGATTGTAAAAGTCAAAAGGTCTAATCAGCATCTTTTAGAAATATGAAACATAGCTTCAGGGGAGTTAAATGTCTATTTAAAATGTTGTTTCGTACCCTGTGGCTTGTGATAAAGCCAGTATTATAAGCCAGGCCTACTGGCTCTCTCAGTCCATGGTTATTCCTTCCCCTGCCTGCTGAATGTCCTCCTTGGGTATGGTTCCATGTTGGTAGGAATATGAAATTAAACAGATATGATACTTGCCCTCTTGGAGCTTTGACGCTTTTAAGTAGTATGTGAAATTTAAATAAAATACGATGCAAAATGTGCTGTGTCCAAAAGAAAACGGCAAAGTTGCTGGGAACAAGTGCGATGAGCAAAGGTTGTATCCCAGTGCAAGCAACATTAGCCTGGAATTCAAAAAGTCCTAGATTAAAGCCCTGCTTCTGCTATTTATTAGCTATTAGGCCTTGAGCAAGTTACCTAACCTCTCTGTGCCTAAATTTTCTTGTATATAAAATGGAAATGGGATTGAAAATCATTAATTTTCAGAATTAATGAAAGGAGCAGAAATAATACGTATGAACTTGCTGGCATAGTACCTAATAAGTGAGACATTTGTAATAAATGGTAGCTATTAAAACTTTTGTTGCTATTATTATCATTATTAATATTAACCATAATTACTTATGGTTGAAAAACTAAAAGAAGGATTTTATGGAGGAGGTATTCAAACTACACATTTTAAAGATAGATATTATTTTGAAAGTTAGATATGAAAGGGAAGGCAATCCACATTACAAGTAATTAGGTAAAATAAAAGCTGCAGGACTTTAAAGTATATTATACATCTAAAGAATTACAATTACTATTGTGTCCTAAAATCTGTAGTTCAGGCAATGGGAAGAGTGGAGGAGTTTTGGGAATATGTTTATTTATAGTCTGAAGGCAGAATATTCCCTAGGGAAAACTCCATTTTTGCTCCTAAAGCCATCAACTGATTGGTTGAGGCCCACCCACATTATAAAGGGTAATCTACTTTGCTTAAGGTCAGCTGATTTAATCACATGTAT